ACAAACAACATTCGTTTGGGTAGCCTGCATCAATGAATCAGCGACGGATTCCACAGTACAGTACTGACTTCACCACGGCGGGTAAAAAGCTAATGCGTTCTCTCTCAGGTTTCTCTCAGAAACGTAGCCTGTTGTTTGGGTCTTGACTCCTCCGAGATTTCATCTTAGACCAAAGACCAAGCTGGGCAAGCGAACGAACGTTTCGAACATCCGTTGTTAATCACCAGGGGAAGCACCATTCAGTGACTCCGCTGGTCCCGTTTTTCCCGTAACAGTACGGTTGTACTAAAAACAACTTTGCGAAAAGTTTGATATGCTCTCAATCATACCACATTTTCTTGTTTCTAATGATTGTCCGATTATCGGCGGATATAATTAAGTGCTAAATTATATCAGCCTGATTAGATCAGCACTGTCCTGCGGGCGTTTTTTACCTCCGTCCTAGGATTGGCGCCTCAGAGACTCCCCCTCCTTTAACATCTCGAAAACTAAGTAAGCCAGCCACGCAGAGGACGACGTTGGAAATCCCTCATCAAACTTCACCAGATGGGTGTGTCTGAGCAAAGGCGAATGTGACCTTTGCCAGGTCAACGAGATCCGTTAAGCACGTTTTAGTTTGTCACGTCTTTTAAGGAAATAAGCGTACTATGGTAATGCGGAGACGGCGTCACATCGCTGTTGAGAACTATTAAAATAGGTGATAGTATCCATCGATACATCTAATTTCGGTTTAGAGCGGTGAAGGCGACTGTTGCGCTGACCAGTCTGGCTTCATCAAGAAATAAAACAAGCCACGGCAATGAGAATAACGTGGTTAGAAAGATCTTCATAAAACGTAAGAATCATATGAACGAAGCGTGCCATCAGTATAAGAATTGTGTGAAGATGAAACAACCAAAATTGGTTACCATGGCCAAAGTCTCACCAGATGACCGGGGATGGCATGGCCTTGCAAAAGTCGCCAAAACAATAGCATGGTCTTTAAGTCAATATAAATCAGAAGGAAACCTCAAAGTCTCTTCAGACTTCACTTTCAAGCATGAATTAGTGTCTCTCGACGTCTTTCAACAAACTGTTGCTGAAATGGCCCTCAAGAAAGAGGCAGTAGATGATGAACTGTGGATCTCAGGTATTTCAAACTTCTGACGTGTGTAAAAGCAATGTAACTTGAAGTATCCAAATTTCAGCATCGGCTCAAAAACCACTAAGAAGCTATTCCTGAAAAACTTAGGGGTGGGACCTCTGAGCTCTCCCTACCCCATTCCCTTCTACATTTGTAGGGCGAGGATTCAGTTGTTGTGCCAATACTTGTTGTGCCAAATACAATACAATAATGTGCCGAACTGCCACGCCCAGCGCAAACAAAGCTTCCGAAGACACAAATTAAACGCGTTAGAAGCTGCACAGCAGATGTGTCTCGAGGTTTTGGAATGCGAGCGATCTCTCACGACGACCAAACTGGAAACGACGCTCTCTCCAATTGTGGAATCTGACCGGACGATAAAACCTGGCTCTCTCCAGAGTGAGTCTTGCTCTCTCCGTTACGTGGTAAATGATGGTGAAAACCGATCTCTCCCAACCCCAAAAAACGGCAAGATGGCGACAAACATCCACACAGCTCTCACCCATGATCTACATGCACACACTTCTCATTATCAAGCGTTTTATTCGTGTGTGTTATATGGCCAATCAAAACATCGGTAGGTATAAAAAGGAAAGCAAGATGTCCGTGAAATCCAGCTATACTACACAGTTCAAAGCCTAGCTTCAGAAGGTGAAATTACTTGGCGTTCGGGATGGCAGTACACATCAGCGAAATACTTTTGCGTACCTGCATAGACCGCCATGTTTTCAGAGTCGGATATACAATGTGCAACAAAGCGAAAAAAAGAACTTAGTGTCGATGTTACGTACTGCGCTGTCAACAATACCAAAAGTGGCAACAGGTTGGACAAATAATGTTGTTGATAGTGTTTCCTTAAAATAGGTCACATAAACGTCCTTGCACGTGACTTGATCAGCAGCTCTTGGAATTTGCACTAATCGCTCAGCCAAGCGTATTTTCCAATTTGGCGTAGGAAATTTGGCGACGATAAACCGCAAAATTAGCGTTCGCCAACGGCCAAGCCTATCGTCCAGTGAGCTATTCCATTCGTAAGGTAATGCCCTGATTCTGGTCGCCATTGTTAGAAAACGTTCTGTAAATTAACATACACTTACTGAATTAGAGCTCGTACACTATTACGTCACGTAATTAATCCACGGAAGCGGCGCCGCCGTTCGAGAAAAAGCGCGAAAATACGCCATCGAAACAGTGGGACATTCGGACCGTTGTGTTTTACTCACGTGAAAAACATCTGGAAAACTCATTTTTTTCCAGAATGAGCTCTGTCAGAGACCGGCGTCGTCGATTTGTTTACGTTATGCTACATTTCCCTCGACTAGGGTAAATCTGGAATCACTTGGGCCTTAAATGTCGGAAATTACGTTATAATTATACAGCACTGCGCTTGTTTCGTTCCGGTAATAGTTGACCGCTGATCTTTGGTACACAATAAGCGTGCTGAGCCTGGTATCTCAAACATTTTCGGCTGCGTCCACCGACCGATCCATTTTCGATTGACCAATCGGCATTGCACTACTCGGCCTATTGGTCATAGTATTGCCATGTGGTCCTGTTTTGAAATTATTAGTTATTTTTCATTTCATACTGCATTCTGTCACATGGTATGCAAGAGGCCTTAAGCCAGGCATTCATTTTGACGTCGTGCCTCTAGGCACAGCCTCGCTTCACTGCACATAATGCTCCGATTTGTTTCGAGGAGGTTGAACACCTGAAGCCGCTTCACTCACAATCCCTTCCCCGCCCGGCGTGGCATGTGCCATTTTTCTCCTGTTCATCCTGCCGCCATCGGCCCTGGTGGGAAGCGTGCTGATTCATGACAACCGTAGTGACCTGAAGCGCCTTCAACAGAGGCATTCAGACGCTTTAATGCGTCAGACTGGATATGAATCAACTACAGCCGCATCGCTGAGCCGGTGGGGAAGAACGTAGCAGATTTCTAAATGTCCGGCTTAAAAGAGTAGGGATGGCCTCGCTCGTGCCGTACCTTCCCGCGAGTAGATCAAAGACACGTCCTCCTTGCTCGATATTCGAATGTGGAACCCAACAACTTTTGCCATCCTCCACTACACACAGGACATTTAACACGCACAACCAGCATCAGCATCAATATAATTCTGCGGCGAGTCTCGGAATCTGCGTTCTTGACATGTCTATCAGCGACAGACGACTAGCTATATGGAGTGCTTCCAAACGGAAACGATCCAGGCCAAGAGGTACGACAGTGGCGTGATATGACGGGATGTCAATACAAATAATGATGCGTGCCATCGTCAGGGAGTGCAACCATTACGCCAAACCAAACAGAGCGCGAGATCAGTTTGCGATCTCACTGCTGGGCGGATGCAAGGCGTATTGTTAGGCGCTGAGACGGGCCTCTCCATGGAAAGCTTCGAATCACATTGACAGCAGGCCATTAGCGGAACGTTGTATTATGGTATATTCTGTGAGTGTTTTGCTTCAGTCCCTATATATATATATATATATATATATATATATATATATATATATATATATGAGATTCTTCGATACAAAGTACAAGTAAGAGCCTAATGGCTGGGACGATGTCGCTATGAATTATGTTTCAATCAGTGAACGTTTCGATACGCTTGGGTATCATCATCAGAACATTACATTCTTCCACATTGAGACAAGGTTGTATTTGGCAAACATCACTTTGTTGTATCGCCTATATTGTTCACGGTAAATAAGCTGATGATCTTGGTTCTCACAATCTAACGCAAGCACAACAATTACACTTCTCTATACGCAAACAGGTCGACTTAAAAAGTGCAAAGCCACGTGTCGAAAGATCGGTTAGACTTCGCCAGAGAAAATGCTACCTTATAATTTCTAGGGGGTATGCAGACCACATGATATTCAATGATGGCTTTCTTTTGTGAATATGAAGTGTTTCTAGAATCCTAAAACTGAGAGTA